GTCATTAAAGGAAATTGCTAAAGACTTAAGTTTTGATCTTTTTTATTTTGAAATTTTATGAGATTTCAACAATATATAATGTTTTTCTGTCTGGTCATCCTCCTTCAGAAGGATTAGATTGTCAGCGGAGGCTTAGAGAATCTGTTTTTGATGACGGTGCACGTTTCTCTTCAGACTTTACACAGATTACCATTTACAGTATTTTTATTACATATATATATATTCCATAAAACTAGAGTGTTACTGGTATAACAGGTCATATTTGGAGTTTGGAGTGACTATCTTTTGTTACAGCTCCATAACTTGAGATAATAACACATTTCCTGGAATAACACTCCAAAGTAGACTGGTTTAAAATATCTAAAGTGTAAATAACCCTTCGTATTCACACTTTCACAACGTAGTCATGATAACTTATACTACATATATATATATATGTGTGTGTGTGTGTGATTTAATAATGTCAAACTTGTATTATCTTTTACTTTGGTATAATGCCCAAATACTGCGCCCCTCCCCCACCTCAAGTTGCTTGGCGATAAGTCTGCAGACTTTCAACGCTAAAATTCGGGATTAGGTACCCGTGGTGGGCTGAGTACAAATAGCTCATTCTGTTCCTTTGTGCTACACAACAACCAAACCAAATACTGTGCCAGGTGTTAATAAAGAAAGCTGTGTTAATTCAAGAATTAAAAATAAAATAAAAAATGCTACTCATAGAAATTAAAAGTTAGTTTTGAGTTATTGTATTTGTGGCAATGCTACCAAAGCTGTCATATCTGTCGCCGTCAATAATTATGAACTTTTGGCCAGAGAGAAGGCAGCTAATCAGATACCACCTATCATCCACTCTAAGGTATTGGCTGTCTCTCTTATAACGCACCCACAGCTTTAACTGACGGAAGTATTTTGTGATATCGAATAGATTCGAACCCCATTCGGCAGCTCAGAAATTCTGAGCTGCACCACAGGACCAGGCGTCGTTCAAAATCGCAATATGAAAGTTGTTATTATTTTGTTTCTTATACAACTTGAGTATCCTTGCGATTGAAAACAGTAGCATTTGTTACCTATAACATTTGATAATCTAACCTATATAAAATCTAGGGTGCTTCACGTCACGCTTGAATTCTGTTGATTTCTCGAAATACGAAGAGTCATAAAAGCCAAGGTGCCTTTATTCAGATAGAATAGTTCGGTTACTGTCTGCCATTACGATTTTAGTGACGGGGTGCAAGGGTTCCGTGAGTGGGGTGGGTGGGTGCCGTGAAACCTTATAAGCCTAGCGAGTGTTGGTATAATAAGCCTAAAGTAAAGAGCCAAGTGCATAACATTTATCATCAAAGTAAAAATTTCGATTCAATTTTAAACTTAAATCGTTTCTGAATTAAGCTATTTTCTATTATATAACCAACGTTTTTAGTAAAAAAAACAAACAAACCTCTTTAATCGACGGAGACTATAAATTAAAAAAATAAACAAATATTCTTCCAATTTTGTTGTCTATACCTTTCATTTTATACTTTCAGTACATAGACTAACAACAATATTAGGTTATACTTTTGTTGTCAAGCAACATGACATAAAAGCCATTGTTGGAACGTAGTGTTACCAAAACGCACTGGCTTTTCAATATATTAGAAGTTGTTAATGATTTTTACTGATTTTTTACCTATACATATCTTATGAATACGCCACGAATTCATTTCATGAATGATCCTAATTTTGATTGGCTCACAAAGGAATTTACTGACGTTTGACTGCCTCGACTGCACTTTTTCATCTTTTT